AATTTCTCTATTCGAGTGTCCTGCAGCACTGAAAGCTCTAATCCGAGCTTGTTCGTCTCGTCGCGAGGATCTACGCAGTACGAGGTTAATGAGTACAGGTTTATGGGGACTAGAGACCATAAAAATGGATTGCAGATCTGGAGCCAAACTTTGGACTTCCTCAGGTGTCCACATACTTTTGTTATTAAGAAACTTTTTCAAAACAATAAATAATTGTACAGTAGTTCACAAAGTGCTCAGAAGTAGTGTATTCCTATGTTTTCGCTTATGAGGAATTCAACAATAAAGGTCTCATATCGCAAAATTCAAAGGCAATTTTGCAGGACAAAAATTTGAGGTGTCCACATACTTTTGTTACGCACTGTATCCCCCCCCCCCTAGCAAGCACCAAATTATCGTGCTATATGCCTCTAACAACGCTCTAAAGAACTCAGAAATAGTGTTGGTTTCTATTTCGTTTTCCTGCTGCAACTGCTCCTAGTTCTTGTTCTGTTAACTGCTCGGAAAACGATTTTTTGACTTTATCTATCTCGTTATCAGCGCATACTGCGGCCTCCATGGCCGTGTCTCCCCTAACTCATCCGCCGATTTTCTGCTTACTTTCGACTATTTTTCCACGATTCTGGAATACATTATACCGGCACATGCCCCGCCCATCGTGGGTGGTTCTTAGCGAATCTCGCACACGCTTCATTCTCACTGGGCGCTCGTCTGCTTTCCGAAGTTTTCTGCGGTATCCAAATTGTTATGAGAGGACGACAAATTTTTGTGGCCAGGGCCGCTCATTCTGAGGACGCTTTGCCCATCGCGAAGGCGATGGACGAGGGGAGCATTGAAGAAGAAAGGCGACGGTAATGAATTACGTATAGCTGTTTGTCAGTCGCTTTCGTTCCAGGGTGGTGCAACGCAAGCGACAGGGCAAACCATCTCGTTGAGTTGAATTTTGGGCTAGATTCAACTCCCCCCCCCTCGAGTTTTCTCCTCCTGTACGAACCTGGCTCACTATCTACCTTCTCCCCCAGTAACTCTTCCCAAAAATTGCAGTCGAGAGTGGGTAGTGGTATAGGGTAAGCACCTTCGATCGACTGTCAGAAATAGTGCTTGTGCTGCGCCTTTGACAAGGGAGAACCCTCCAACGGAATTCAGCCCTTCGATTAGGATTGCCCTGCGTACGACCCCGCTGACCAGAGTGAGCCCTACCACCTCTATTTCCCACCCGCGTTTATCTTTTGGATTGTCGCCCTTTAGTAGCTGCCAACTTCGCATGGAACGCAGTCCTTTTCTCTGCAGACGCTGGGCGTGCCAGAGGTACGAGTTTGGCGTGGCGTCCATCAACCGTTGGAGCAGCGCGCAAACGGCGACATTCGGTAGAAAACGGGTGTGAGTTTTCAAGCTGTTATTGTTTAGTAACTGCTGTTTAACGCCGCAGTGCGCGATCCGAAAGCTATCACAAGAATGCTGAGTTATGGGCAAAAGTCGGACCACGGACGGGATTTGAACCCAGCATCTTCCTGCTTTCCGTGCAGCTGCGTTTATTACGCTACCGGGGCCACTTTTGACCACTCAGTTCGATGGCTATTTGTGCCATTGCCTTCGAGCACTCACACGTTCAACGTGATGGGTAGTGCCGGGTCAGTGCCGCGCTACCAGCCCTGCCAGACTGCAGGGAAGAGTGACTATGCATAGTGGAGGGGTACACAGAAAAAAAAACACAGCAGGACAAATCATATCTGGCCAGAGCTCAGAACTGGGACTTCAGAGCGAGATCACCATTAAAGGCATAGACTGAATTAATCCTTACTCTTTCTGAAAGATATCAGGGTGGCCAAATTAAAGGGAAAAAGGCGAAAAAGTGAAGTGAAACGGGCAAAACCTGGCAAAAAGCACCTTTTCTAACACGATCTAGAACCATTTCTGGACGAGTTCCCTGCTGCATCGTGCCAATAGTCGCCACGGTAGGTCCGGCCGAATGTGCGTACTCATGCAGTATCGCAGCCGCTCCATTCCAATCCCTTCGGTTCGTGTTGAACTGCGAGATTAAGCGGTACGATCCTCCAGCATTTGGTCGACGTTTTGTGGACCGGCGGGCGCGTAGGCATCCAGGTTGCTATGGCCGCAGGCCGGTAAGAAAGGCTGTATAGAGTACCCTCCCTTGCAACGCGTCACAACACCTACCTCAGAGGCGCCGAATATGTCCTGCCAGGCGTATCAATTCCCTACGGGGACTAATCGTGCCGATTGCCTTTATTAAAAACATTAACCATCACATAGGTGAGTGAATAGGCTTTATCAATAAATCACATCAAATATGAACAGATATGGGCGTCCGTAATAACTTGAAAACACAACAAAACCTAACTGTTTCAGCATATCTCAGAGTACCTATGCCATATTCGTGAGTATCACGGTTAAAGCATTCTGGTAAAGGGATAAATATGCTAAAAATAGGGTTGTCAGCAACGGTAGTCAAAATAGTGTGGTTAAGTAGGTAATACCATGGGAACAATATACATATGTAATTTTGAGGCGTTAAGGTGCTGGCTCGGGAGCAGTGCGTGAACAGTGTCACATACAATTTTCTCTTCGTTACAATCACAGTGGGTTCTTTCAACTGAACTCACCGGCCAATATCGCGTTGGAGGGCGCAGACGAATAGAAAATGACGTGATACAGCCTCGCTCTCCTTTCCAGCTGTTCACTTTAGCGTCAAATTTGGCACCGAACATTAGAATCCTCGGACATGAGCATATAGCATATAAAACCTCTTATTATCAGGACTGTGATATCTGCACCGGCACCATATCATGAAAGAGATCGATAGAAACCCCTGCATGTTTAAAATTTTTTTTCGTGCATACGGTACCTAATTAACATATGACTGGCAATATTTCGTGCCTAGTGAGGGTAATCTGATTCAGCTGGTACTGGCGCCGTCTGCGCTCTCTTTAACCTCTTCGACTACCTGAGCTTCCACTGGCTGTGATATCGAGAACACTCTGCGTGGCGATTCAGGAGCGACCTGAAAAGCTTCAAAAGTGAGTAGGTAAACGACTATGCAAAAGGAAAACATAGAAATTAGCAGCAAGTCAGGTTAAATTAGTTCAAATGTTTGGGTAGTTTGTTGTGGGGGCTAGTGAGATTGTTTTCGGTGGCTAAGAGGCGCTATATATCTCTGTGCACGACTCTTCCCAGGAGCTTGATCCCCCAAGTCCACCAAGCCTTTTTTCACTGTGTTGGCGAAGAGTAGGTATCCCCGTTGTGGGAGACACCAAAACCATTACTGCGGTGCTTGACTTTTACAGTAATTCACTGAGAGCACTACCATCAAGTTACCATACTTACAGTAATTCACTGAGAGCACTACCTATCAACTTACCATACCTTTTTGTGTCTTTGCCAGTTGAATGCATGGCGCATCGTAGGCGCTTGATCAGTAGCAAATATTTCATCCTACAATCCTTCGAACGATGTATGAGGCCTACTAGCCAATTGTCAGCTCAAAGGTGAGCATGTTTTCATTATTTAGCAAAGGAGAGGATGGGAGAGAAGCTCGCTCACGCCGCATGATTTCCGATTTTTGTTGCAAGCAAACTGTACCGGAAAGGGTGTGCTATATCAAAAAGAAATCTTCGAACGATGTATGGGGCCGCAAAGCATTAATTGACGCAACAATCGCAGGTGGCTTCGATTGGCGTTTACGTGACATCTTGAACTTTTGTGCATGGTCCTGTTACGAAACCCTGTGACGCAGACGGATAGAGGGCAGCGGCTGCCAAAGCATCGAAACGTGCAAAAACGTATGGCGAGCCAGGAAACGGGATTTCAAGGGGAGAGGACTCCGGGTGGGTGAGGCGAAGTCAATATGAACCAATAGAGTGCATGAAGGACGATAGAGAGAGAGAGAGAGCAGAGAAAAACACAAATACGACCGCGTTCAGAGGAACCGGTTCAGTTCCCTAGAAACCTCGAATGCTCTCGCCCATACTCGTTTGGCGTCGTGTCCTCAGTGTCGGCACTTGCATCTTATGGCGAGACATGACACCGCAGGGTAACAACGCTAAGTAGCGCGGGCTAATAGGTATAGGGCTGTGCCGCCATGCGACAGCGCAGATAGGGTAGTGAAAACAGCACATAACCTGCCATCCGCGTTCCGGTTCTATTTTGACGAAGAAAGTGGTAACTCTACACGTAGCTTGTGTGGCCCTTTCGGCTTGCACGTAGCAAGAGCCGTACTCGGCGGTGAGTGTATAACTTGTCTTCGAAGACAGAAGGAAGACATTCCAAAAGATGCTGCGAAACCTCCAAGGTCTCTCGCTAGTGTATCTCATCGTGCTATACGTAACCTGCCAGATTCTTTGATTTCGTTCTTTCACTGACTACTGTTATTATACAAAGTACCCAATGAATCGTGAGCATTTCAGAAAGGACAACGTGGAGCTCAGCAACTGCTTGATGTTTTTCTAATAATAGAAATCATTTGTTGTTACCTGAGAGAGTTTATACTATTGCAATAGGGACAAGAAGTAGTGGGCGGTATAGAAAATTAGGAGAGCGAAAAAAAGGTTTGCTTTGCTCGCGCTAATCACTCTTATACGACAGCAATTTGAACGTAATCTGATCCACCGAATGCTGGAATTCTGTAAGCCCGTGCCCTAGCGCCCCGTCAGTGGCGCTAGGAGGACAAGCTTGTTTGGCACTGACGCCTATGGCACGGGAACCAATTCTCTTCGTTCCGCCTATAACAAAGCTAAAGCATCCGCAGCGTACAACTGAATGTATGGTAACCGGCTGCCCCACCTCCAATGCCTACTCCATTTGGATATTGTGGAACATAAAACTCACATGTATATCACGAAGAATAGATAAATAATGAAGTATATCAAAAAATATCACATTTGTATACATATATACAGAGATAAATAGATATTGACTATATAGATATTGACCAGATAGTCTACAATTGTAAGTGATACTGTGTAAGCACTACTTTTTCGCCAACCTTAATTCGAGCAGCAAAGAGCGTTCCGGATCATTGTGTACAAGCTCCTGTAAAAGAATCATTAAGTGAATGGAATTCCAATGAGACGAATGGAATGTGCCAAGTGGGGAGCTCCACCTGTTCCCGTGAGCTCCGCCCATTCTTCAAGACAACACCTCATGGCACAGGAATTCTTTAAGGTTGCTTCAAAAGAAATAACGAGAAAGCTCACCAGATAATATGGCCGATGGCGAACCATGTAGCCAAGTTATAGCCGATATAACTGAGCAGTTCGTACAGAGTAGGATCTTTTGTTACCAGTACCTCCGTGACAAGTGTTGTACTGTATTCTAACACCAGTCGAGCAACGAAGTCCTGATTACAGATAAAAGCTATTCTCGGTCAAATGATTAGATAGGTTTGGGACCATCTCCGGAGGCAAAGTTCGGCAAAATCCCTTTTCACGCTTTCAGCCAAAAATGCACCTGATTTCAAATATAACTCTGTCGCAAGCAGACGCCCTGTGGCGTCCCAGCGTGATAAGGCAGGGCGAGAGGAGTGAAGTGAGAATTGCCGAAAGAAACCGCCTGCCGTGAGGTTGAGAGCTCCACCAGTTGTGAAACAAACCCCACAATAAGTGGAAATAAAGCCTCCTGCGACTCTGAGAACCCATAAGAGATACTAGTTGAGCGTCGCGCCGCAGTCGAGCAACAAGGCTATAAGCTTACTCAGTCTTCGCAATTATACCCAAATCGGAGGTAAATTACCCACTGTGCCTGCACAAGGTCGGTAAACCCATTACTTGTTAGTAGGGGGCATCATGGGTTCGCAAAGCCCAGAGGCTAGCCTTAATAGAAAAGTAGAAGGAAAAATATATAAAAACGGTACGCGGCAAGAGAATCGTAACTCGCCGCGCCAGTGGGCGTCGCGTGCGACGTTCGCGCCTGCTAATGACACGATCTAGATGGTATTGTTCGAGAATAGACAATGTAAAAATAGACATGATAAGTGTCTACTATGTCCTTGTCTACATGAGATCCGATGCTCCAATCGAGAGGGTAGTGCAGACTGAAGAAATCGTGCCCATTGCCGCGCGCGACGAAGTGGCGATTTATGATCCTCTTGCCCGTTTCCCTGTGAAACGTTCTACAAAACAAAAATGGTTTGTTTCGTTCCAACCTCAGACAAACCACTTATATCTCGTCCCCGGGATTCCTCAGTGATTAGGTGTTGATGAAATAAGTACACGGGTGAGGAGTTCAATAAAAATAATAGCTCTTACTTGAAGTTAGTTAGGGCTTCACGATTCGCGCCAAAAGGAAACTATTTCCGCTGAACTTCGCTTCAAGAACTCCTGAACATTCAGCACATAGCTGCGGTCGTTTTAACGCCAATAATATGATCCAACATACCTGTGTTGAACGTATACCGCGGGCAGATCGTATTGGTCCACCGTTCCTGGATACGACGTCGTTACACATGGATAAGGATTTTTGCTGAAAAAAAAAGAATGGAAAGAGGAAAAGGAACAGGCATGCTATGAGCACTTTATATCTGGCGAAAGGGGGATCTAGGATGCGTTTCGCGCGGGATATTTCTATCCCGAACAACTGTCCTACTATTTTGTTCTAGTAAAGATGTGTTATTATTTTTGTTCTAGAAACGGTAATATCCCACCAAAAGCGCAACCACAGCCGCGCTCAAATGATGTAAGCGGCCACGCCCTCACCGTCTCGCGGATATGGCGAGTATGTGCTAGCTACGGTCTCTACAGCTGCCCTTAAACTCGATTCACGTTCAGAACAAGGTCTATCTTCCTCATGGCTCAGTCTAGAGAGCACAATGTAGGGATGCTAGGTGGTGACACGACCAACTGGATGACGTTTACTTCCGCTGAGGTCTCAAATTCAGTGGGAGGATTGACAGCTCTCACCTGCGACATTGTGAAATATCGTCGTAGCCAAAATATCGTTCGGTATGGGTTCGGTCCATGCAGACGGACGCGTCAAATCAATATACCTCCTCGCACATCCCTTATACTTGTCGATTGTACAGACTTGCGTTGTATTGACTAGCAAGGAGAAGTCCCTTCAAATAATCTTTCGACTATGCATTGATCAGTACCAACTAGTTTCCATTCACGAAGTACATATCTTGATAATAAAATACCGGAAATCCAATCAATTAATGAATGACCAACCTAAACTCATCTGGTCCATACTGCCAACATTTCGCCAACAACGGATGACAGTTGCATTGCCGTATAGAAACCTGAACAACACTATCCAATTCTCTATTTCTCGCGAAAATAATTATTCATATCAAAAGGAGAGCTAATCAGTCAATTATTGATTAAGAAAAGAAAAAATCTCAACCAAGCATTCAACAGGACTTGTCAATCTATCATACGAACCAATGAATATCCAGGATGTAGAACTTGAGATCCTTTTTGCGACGGCACGAAGGAGCTAGCAGAGATTTTCCTACTTCGTTGGCTTTGACAACTATTAGGTTGTTGCATAATTTTGATACACGTGTTTGATTCCTCTCCTATTTGTCGCTGATGTGGTATTACGTCATCACGTGTGCGTGACGTGTACATTATACTCTTTCATTACACTAGCTATCACTCACCGAGCTTGCATTTGCAGTACACAATGTCGCACAATTTGCACTGTGACAAAACGTACCTGCGCCACTGTTTGGTTTTGCTCCACGATTTCGGCTGGAATGCAAAGGAAGCCCATACCAAGCTGGTGGATACATACGGTGAGGACGTCATCTCTTACATGACATGCAAGAATTGGTTCGCCAATTCAAGAAGGAGACTTTTCTCTCGAAGATGCTCCGAGGTCGGTCGGCCGATGGAGTTGGATTTGGAAGTACTACGTTCCACCGTGGAGGAGGACCCGTACCTCACCACCAGAGAAATGGCGACCATGCTTAGCTATGATCATTCGACGGTTGCACGTGGACTAGAAAAGCTCGGCAAGGTAGCAAAGCTTGGTCGATGGGTCCCACATGAACTGTCCGCTTATGACCTCTCGAGGAGGGTGACCACCTGCACTTCTCTCCTCACTTTCCAAAAGAGGCTTCACTTTCTCAACTCGATGATCACTGGAGATGAGAAGTGGGTCCTCTACGATAACCCTGTGAGGAAGCGGCAGTGGGTCGACAAAGGAGAACAGCCAGAAGCCACCCCAAAGGCCGACCTTCACCCCAAAAGGTTCTCCTGTCCTGTTGGTGGTCCAGAAGAGGCATGGAGTACTGGGAGCTGCTGGAGAAGGGACAGACGATTGACGCTTCCACATACGTGACCCAGCTGCGGAAATTGAAAGATCACGTCGACCGTACTCGTGGAAGGAATGCGGAAATCTACTTCCACCATGACAACGCCCGACCTCACACTGCAAAGGCGACCCAGGCCGAGCTGGAGAAGTACGGATGGCTGATGGTCGCCCACCCTCCCTACAGCCCTGACCTCGCTCCTTCTGACTACTGGCTGTTCAGCCACCTGCAGCGCTATCTGGACGGAAAAAAAGAAACAAAGGATCAGGTCAGAAAGGCGCTCGACGACTTCTTCAAGTCCCAGCCTCCGTCGTTCTGGAAGGATGGAATCGACAAGCTGCCTGAGCGCTGGCGTCGAGTAGTGAATGGTGATGGTGCATACCTCTAATCTCCAGGCTGGTTCATTTTTGAGATATTTACAAAAAAGTCGTGTATAAGAACTTATGCGACAACCTAATAGCATGGAAAGGAGAGTTCCATAGTCATAGAGCCTATTAGGAAGAATGAACCGACTGGATGCGATTCAACGCGCGGTCTTTTGATGTTTTTAGCCGCGTAGCCGATAAAAATTTTCGAGGAAAAAAATAGCGTATTCGCGTCTAATTTACATGCTCCTTATCTAATCAGCGCTTAACCATAATCAGACACATAAGCAGATTCGTCTTATTATTAGCAAGTGCACTGCGATCCTCCGACTGAGCTTCGCCAAGTGTTTGGCCACATGATGTTCGTCGCAGATCAGCTCGAACCTGCACATGGCAAATGAGCTTCAAAAAAATAAGATCGAAATAAAAAGGAAAATATTTCACGGGTCAAACCTCTTTATGCATCCTTAAGCGTACTCCCTTTTTATCGAATAATCGCAAAGGACTTGTCAGTCGATTAACCGAATCGATAGGGTCGTTAGCATTCATTCTCAAATAGACGTCTACCCCTGGATGAACCGGTGTCGTTTGTTCGGAATACCACGAGTTACGTGTCATCTAAATTGCTAAGCTGTATTTGTTTTCAAGCTTCATCTATGGTCGGACGCTACCATCGCACCGCGACCGCACGCTTCATAAACCGTCGGTCCTAAATATCTGGCACTTGCCGGTTTTCCTTGTTTTGTGAACTCAGGCCTGAACTGTGTTCTAGACATGAAGTAACATGAACTGCGACTCTATCACGTTCCTCTTGTTACATGCGGAAATCCAGGCATCGCAGTAATTCGAGACCTGTTGTTGTTACTATTACTATTCTACCTCGCAAGATAGACACATCCCCAGCCACCGTGGCGGCTCGCTCCGAGCCCTGTACGTCCTAGGCTTCTGGGCAGTCTCTTATAAAGGAGAAAACAATTGGAAGTTGCACATCGCTCAGCAGAGGGCGAAAAAAGGCGTTGGGCAATGCTGGTCTTTTCAGCATCCGGCTTGCACGCGCTTACTCATTTCCTAAGTCCTTACCACTTTTCGCGTGCCATTCACCCCTCTATTTTCGTCTGGACATTGCAGTCACGCCTCGGCGTTAGGCCTCAGATACGAACAGTACGTAGTCAGGCCGTCATGTTATTACTCTCTCCTCTCTTATCTAACTTGCCATGTCATACACTGCACGTGGACGGATTCTAATAATATCCATTTTTGGTGGTTTACCTGGAATGTTATAGAGAATTGCTTTGATGGTGACGACGAGTTTTGTTTCATTGAACTGTCGTAGTACATCCAACATAAGCCTTTTGTCGTCGGCACTCTATAGAGAACATTTCGACAGCATTCGTATGCAGGTATGTTCACTCCCTGAATTTAAATACATGATCTAATGTTACGTGTGCCCCTAGAGAAGAGATTTCAAGAGTCACGGAGCAGCCCTGTTACATGGCTGATCTGTGGATTGAATTTCGCCACTTATAATTTCCAACCCTGCTGGATTGCAAACACAATTTGGTCACTTAGCCAAAACAACTTTGAAGGTGTGCATTGCAAGCAATGCACAGTCGTGAGAGCGATTGCGTGCAAAGCTGGCGATGCAGGCGGCGTTCAGTCGCCGTCAGGTGTTCAAGAGCTAAGAGCCTGGAAGCTATTCCGGGTGCTTCATGTGATTCATATGGTCACTACTGCTCACTCCATTCAAGAGGTAATCAGGACTATCAAAACTAAGGGTCCATCTGATCGGAAGGCCACCTCACCTGATAACTGCAGCTGTTAATCACGCTTCTGGCACATGTACTCCATCTGATTGATGCTTTGATTCCGAACGTTCTGTGGCAGATATTGGAACACAGTAGTTTGCCCTGTAACCAGTACGTGAGCCAATTGTAAGAAAAAGTAGATTCTATCAGGCTTTCGTAGGCAAAGGCTTCGGAAGTGCTTTCCTATTGGCACTAGACATTCATTGTCAACATCCGGCATTCGCCATTTAGCGGTGAGCGGTCGCTTTTTATTTCTTTGAAAGCAGATCGCGTAATTTTTCTGCTAGACCAGCGTCCATCATCGTTGCGCTAACACTCATCGGGCCCGGGATGGGTGGTGGCCTAATTGGTCACTAAGGAAAAAATGTCGTAATTCGCATTCAAAAAAATTCGTTTTGGTTGTGATTTCCGTTTCATGTGCGCTGACGACGACGACGACGACGCTTAACGACGCTGAAATTTTTCTAAGATGGCAGATTCTAGAAAATTCCTGCTCTTGAGGAGAGTTGCAGTGATACCGCAGTTCTGCCCATGCCGATGATGCCCTCTGTGCTAGCAGTAAGATCAGGCTGCTTATTGCTAAGCTGTATTAGTACTATTATTTCAACCTTGTTCCATGTAGCTCTGCGACATCGCCACGTAATCGGCGTCCTCCTCCAACGACGGATTTGTCCATTCGAGAAGATATCTGCAAAAGTTTCAATTATAATGGGAAATACAATTGTCACAGTAAGGTCAAAATTGCATCTTGTGAAAACTTCTTCGTTAATCAAAAAGCATCAGCAGGACAAAGCACCACCCATTTTGTCATTAAGGAAGGGAGAGACTGGTGGGTGAACTCCCTAACCGCTATCACTGAAAAGTTGGAAGTGACGGTGAAGTGTCAGAGTGGGTGACTGGAGGCGGATGTCAGAGTGTGGTCCAGCTACAAAAGGTATCATACCATTGTGCGAGTCAGACAATCCGACTGTTGTTAGAAAGTAAGCCGCTGCTGAGCTTCACCATTCTCAATCCACCACTCTTACATGCGTTTCTGGACAGGGCACAGCGTTCGATGGGGATTCCCTATGGGGGGTCGTATTTGGCCGCCAAAAGGGGGGGGGTCGTATTTGGGCTGGGAAAAATTTATTTTTATAGTTGATTTTTCTCGCTTTGCGGACGTTTTGGAGGGGGGGTCGTATTTGGTCGTTGTTGGGAGGGGGGTCGTACCAACTCCCAAAACAAGGGGGGGTCGTATAGAGTCGATTGAAATCCCCAACCAATGATGTGCCCTGTTCCGCAATTTTATGCATTGCAATCGATTCGTGCTTCATTTCAGCCTGACGTAAAATGCGTTGTACTTTTCTATTTTAGGCAATTATATCCTGTCTTGCGTTGTACAGAAAATAAGACATTATTACAGTCGTCTCGAAACTGCAATGTCCCATCACAAGTGCAGCATCCGTCATGTACATGAATTGAGTAGACACACCCACTCCATCACCACGATATGGAATCTACTTGCGAGCGTGGCATGGACTGCATTTTAACGTCCCTTTTGCCTTCACGTATGGAGTCTATTGCGCTTTTGTTGGGTGAGTTAATATAATAATTGTCATGATAACGAGTTCATGAGAGCGTTCACATGGTTCCTCCTTTGAAAATATTACAATGGGAAAGCACTGAGTGCGAAAGTCTCACTATGTGCGAACCATATTCATTGCTCGTTCATTGCCATATCACTTTTCCTTGTATCCCACAAAATGAGGTCACACCTGGATTAAAACATTTCAAAAACCCACCTTCTAAGCTGATATGAATGGTTTAGACGAGGTGTGACGCTAGGCTTTTTAGCTGTTGCGCCACTACTACCTCGCGTTCATCAAGAACATGTGTGAATGAATTATGCAGAACTACGAGACCTATTTTACTTCCGCAATGAAGAGCATGCAACGCTTCTCATGTTAATCTACCCCTTGTGAGATACACCCACACACTTGACATCACAGACCATTCCGAAAACCATTATGCATATGGCTTATGGTTTCAGCATGTGACTTATGCGCATCCGAAACCTAGCTATATGCAATGTTCGAATGGGTGATTGTTTAAGTTGTCGTGGTGTATCTCACAAAGAGTTGATTAACATGAGAACATTATACACTTACATTTTGTGTTAATTGTGGCCAATGTTAGCTACTCCCAGCTACTTAGCTTATATATTCCCAGAGAAACTTATTTTCTTGGGAAAAAAAAAAAAAAAAAAAAAAAAAAAAAAAAAAAAAAAAAAAAAAAAAAAAAAAAAAAAAAAAAAAAAAAAAAAAAAAAAAAAAAAAAAAAAAAAAAAAAAAAAAAAAAAAAAAAAAAAAAAAAAAAAAAAAAAAAAAAAAAAAAAAAAAAAAAAAAAAAAAAAAAAAAAAAAAAAAAACAGG